CCTTTGTGAGCCAATCCAAATTAAGATTATTCATCAAATGAATTCGTGGTGTATTCATAGAATAATTATTGGTAAAAATAAGTTAGATTAGGAACTTCTAATATATATAGAAAAGCCAGTGCGTTTTGATAACACTACGTTCCAGCAATGGCTTTTATGACGTGTTGCTTAGCAACAAAAGTATAACCTAATATTGTTGTTAGTCTGTGTACTGAAAGTATAAAATCAAATATATAGTCAAGAAAGCTGGAAAAATATTTGTTGATTCCTCAGTTTAGAGTCTTTGTTGATTAAAGAGGTATTAAAAACGTTGGTGATATAACAGTTTAATTCAGAAACGATTTAAGTTTAAAATTGAATCGATATTTTTACTTTCATGATAAATTCTATTGACTTGGCTCTAGGCTAGGTGATCCCACACTACGTTTTTACTTTAGGCTTATTATACCAACACTCACTACACTTACAATATTTCACGGCACCCCCCTCCTCACGACCCCCTTACATCCCCGTCACTAAAATCGTAATGGGCAGATAGTAATCGAACTATTCTATCTGAATAAATGCATTTTGGCTTTTATGACTCCTTATATTTCGAGAAATCGAGCGTGACGTGATGTTACACACACTGACTTTTATATAGGTTGGACAATTAAGTGTATAACACAATACATTAATTTAGTCACGCACCGTGTAACTTAAACATAAGCGTTATATTTTAATAATAACTTTTCAAAATAAACGAGCTATACAGATTAGAACAATAAGACAACTTTGTTTTGTTAAAACATTTTAATTCAAGGTATTTAGGAATATGTTTCATAATGTTTTATTCAGACAAATACTGTTTTTGTACACTCTTTTAGGTGTGTTAGTGAAAGGCCAAGACCAGCTTGATAATACAAGAAATCTTTCTTTAACAAATAGAGGCCTGAGTAATGTAAGTATAATGATATTATATTGTTTCTATATCATTAATATCTGCTCAAGAAAGATACGTTTGTAGCAAAAATAAAAGATGTGCACAATGAAACCTGCATGTCTGAAATAAAACAAAACATTTGGTTTATAAGATTTTTTTTTCTGTAATTTATTCATATGTACGAATTTCTGAAATTACCATTGCACCTTTAAAACAGCTTTTATGGTATGTTAAGTCAGATGTATTTTAAGACTAATCTTGGTATATAATGCAACTGAAGCCACAAGTAAGGTTACTTCTTGATATTCGGCTGTTAATGTATTATTTGTTTGTTAGGACTAATCTTGGTATATAATGCAACTGAAGCCACAAGTAAGGTTAGTTCTTGATATTCCACTGTTAATGTATTATTTGTTTGTTAAGATTAATCTTGATATATAATGCAACTGAAGCCACAAGTAAGGTTAGTTCTTGATATTCCACTGTTAATGTATTATTTGTTTGTTAGGACTAATCTTGATATATAATGCAACTGAAGCCACAAGTAAGGTTACTTCTTGATATTCGACTGTTAATGTATTATTTGTTTGTTAGGACTAATCTTGGTATATAATGCAACTGAAGCCATAGCTAAGGTTAGTTCTTGATATTCGACTGTTAATGTATTACTTGTTTGTTAGGACTAATCTTGATATATAATGCAACTGAAGCCATAGCTAAGGTTAGTTCTTGATATTCGACTGTTAATGTATTACTTGTTTGTTAGGACTAATCTTGATATATAATGCAACTGAAGCCACAGCTAAGGTTAGTTCTTGATATTCGACTGTTAATTTATTATTTGTTTGTTAGGACTAATCTTGATATGTAGTGCAACTGAAGCCACAGCTAAGGTTAATTCTTGATATTCGACTGTTAATGTATTACTTGTTTATTAGGACTAATCTTGATATATAGTGCAACTGAAGCCACAGCTAAGGTTAGTTCTTGATATTCGACCGTTAATGTATTACTTGTTTGTTAGGACTAAGCTTGGTATATAATGCAATTAAAGCCTCAGATAAGGAGTTTAGAGTTCAGTTCTTGAAGTTTGAGTTCTATTTAAAACATCATAAAAGATAATCCAAAATTGTTTGGTATTACAGCAGGAATATAAAAATAGATGAATTTTTGGGATTATTTTTTTACGACAATTCTCTGAATACTATATTGGTACACATTGATTTTAAGCATAGAAGATAGAACACAATTTCGAATGCTATTCTAACTGAGATAATGAGCTAATAACAGACTGTGTTCGATGGATTCGTTTCGATAAGAGACCACTGTGGTTAATAATGCTGTTCATGTGACAGAGACGATATTCTTAGGTTTTTTCTACCTTAGCAATAAAGTCACTGTTTTCTTAGTTGTAAATCATTGTTTGTTTTTCCAACACTTAAAACTTTTAATAACTTTAGCATTATTACTGTTTTTTAAAATTTTCAGTACTGACTGAGGGATAGAACCCATTGTTTAATGAAGACGACATTTACTGTAAATTAAAATCAGTTTGGTAACCTGTGACGTTCATAGACCCTTGATAAAGGCGTAAGCCGAAACGTCGGGTACAAGTAATTAAAGATTTTTCTGAAGTTGTTTGTCGTCTTCATTAAATAACTTTAGCATTGTTTCAGAGTTATTTATAGCACATGCATGCAATACTATTCTGTGATCTTGAAATACTTATATATATAATAACCAGTTTTTTACTTTTTTTTTGCTTTAAATAGCCAAAATTTAAAGTCTTTGGAAGTCCGAGCGATTCACCTGGCAAGTTTGGCCTTGGTGTTGGAGTAGGTTCACGGCTATGGGAGAGTAAAAATGGCAGATTTAATGTTGGAGGAAGTGCATCTGTGCAGCAAGGGGTAAAACCCTTTGGTGGAAAATTATTCCCGGGAAACCCTAGTGTGGGTATAGGCACTGGTGTTAATGTCAAATTGGGGCCGCGAAGACACAGTGATCTCAGTTTTGATATTGGTGCCACTAAAGGGCTCGGAGGAGGACCCTTTAACATTGGTGCTGGCCTCAAATATAGATTTGGGCGCTCACTAAGAGTCAGTAGGAAGCGATAAGCTTATTGTCCGATACAGAAAATAACAAACAACATACTATTTTTTGTGTGATTTTAATAAAATAACATTCTTCTACTCGGTTAATTTTGTGTAATAAAGTATCAAGTTTACTTTGTTTCCAATAGTCTTCGGTCGTTTATCGATGTTCAGTTGTTACAGATAAGCCACTAGATTTTTTATACTTTAAAATTTTAAATCCTGATGGACCAGAGCTTAAGAACTAATTTTCCAAACATCTTTTCGGAGAAATGTCTAATTTTCAGTTTAATGGTTGATTTCATGGATTAAATATATTTGAAACTATCATGAAAACGGCACAGCAGTCACTTTGTCTAATGATAAGATCTGACAATATAAAATTTAACTACTGTTTAAGGTTTGACTTTACAAAACTCAACTAATGATCAAAATTAGACTATTCAAAACTTAACTAATGACTAATATTTGACTATATGAAATTTAACTAATGACTAAGATTTGATTATATGAAATTTAACTAATGACTAAGATTTGATTATATGAAATTTAACTAATGACTAAGATTTGACTATATGAAATTTAACTAATGACTAAGATTTGACTATATGAAACTTAACTAATGACTAAGATTTGACTATATGAAATTTAACTAATGACTAAGATTTGACTATATGAAACTTAACTAATGATCAAAAGTTGACTATATGAAACTTAACTCAT